CGCGCTCCCCGGCCCCGGCCTCGCTCCTCCTGCCTCCCGGGAGGGGAGGAAACGCAGCCACCTCCCGCCGGAGGAAGAGGCTGCGGGGGGGGGGCTGCCGTGGGCTGCGCTGGGGCACCAGGCCCTGGCCCTGCCGGCGGCCCTCGGCAGAGGGTGGCAGAGGGCACAGGGACTAAAGCAAGTGTCTGTGTTCTGTCTTTCCTTTTTTTTTTCTGATTTTAAATGAAACTCCTGAAGTGATGTTTCCTTTTTTTAGTGAAATGAAGCCTGGCACATCCCCTGCGGGCAGGGATAGAGCCTGCTCCACATTAGTGCCTGCAGGGAGCAGATTTGGAGTGTTCAGAAAGCTCCTACTGATCATGATGGGAAAGTGCTTGTAAATCCCGGTGTAAATATCCCCTTTCCTGTGCTGCGCCTCGTGCTGGAGCTGCTGCAGGCCCTGGAGCAGGCTCAGTCCTGGGGCCGCTTGGGCTCCGGCAGCCTCCTCTCCTGGCTGCCTTTTGCTGAGAGGTCCCTGCCCTGAGCTGGGCAGGGCGGGTGGCAGCCGGGGCCTGTCCGCAGCCTGGGCCGGGCGGGCGGCCCCAGGAGCTGGCGGCCCCGTGTCCCCGGCCTGCCCGTTCCCTCCTCAGCTGCTCGGCCCTTCGCGCAGGTGCCCCCGGCAGCGGCCGGGCCCAGGGCTCTCCCCTCTGCATAGAAGTGTGGGGGCAGTGTCCGATTAGGGGGCTGGTCTTTACCACTCTTTTTTTCTTCTTAGTGTGAGGCTCTCCAGGGTTCTCTTCCCCAGCTTGTTTTTTAGATTAGCTCTTGTCCATCTTCCCCTGTGAAGGGGCAGAGAACTTCTTCCACTGGCAGCCTCTGCGTTTTAGCACCTCGACCATTCCACTCTGCCAAGCCTAGTGCTGGCTTAAGGGCCCCCGTGTCTCCCTGGCCCGAGCTCTGCGCTGACAGCAGAGCTGCAGGGTGACACAGCTGGTGGCGGGGCCGTGCGGATGCCTCGTAGCAGCGTGTGCTCATTTGCTGGAGGGCTGAGGCCGAGCGTGGCCCTTGTTCCCTCTTTCACACGCGGAGCCCTTGTACAAAACTTCTGGCTTTTGCTTTTCTTGCTAGTGTCCCCTGCCTTCTTTTCTATCGATGTACACCAGGTGCTGGGCTAGGGTTTCCACAGTGGTATTGGTTCACATTTATGTTTATTTCCTTTTTAATCTGCACCAATCTTGTATTTCACAGTTTGCACTTTTTGTATTTCAATAAAAATCAAAATCTAATCCTAGATCCATCTTTATCCGTCCATTGGCAGAATCTGTGCCACATCTACAAGAAACAGGCGGCCGCGCTGCCAAACACAGCATTGTCACAGGGAAGTGACAACGACATTCCTCATGGCTGAGGGACATGGGAAGAAGTCCCTGTTTGCAGGGGCCTCGGCGTGAGGCTGGGAGCAGGTTGACGGTGAGAACGCAGCGCTGCCGCTCTGGCTCTTCGCTGAGCTGTGGTTGCTCCTTTCACATCAGTGACTGCTGCAGTGACGAGGGGACGAGCGCTCTGTCTGCCTCGAGCTGCCCCTGCCCAGAGCTTTGCTGCCTGTCCCCTCCTCCTTCAGAGATGAGCTGGGACAGGGCCCCTGTGGGCGATACGCTGTGTGGCCAGCAAAGCCCTGGTGTGCCTGTGCCCAGGGGCCACCTCCGCGCTGGCCTCGCAGGGGCTCCTGGAGCAGGAGGTCCCCCCCGGGTGCTGTAATGGGCAGCAGGGATTGCTGGGAGGGCCAAACCCTGCAGGACAGATCACCACCCCCCAGCCCTGCCTCTGGGGCCAGCTGGGCTCCCAACCCACCTTTCTTCACCCTCCTTCTTCTCAAGAGGGGCTTTTTCACTGGGATCCTGCTGCCTCCACCTGGTTTTAGGAACCAGTGCCGCCTGTCTCGCTGGAAGCAGCAACTGTTCCGTGCTGCTCTAGGCAACTCACAGACCGAAAGGTTCGAGCTCTTCCACACCTGTAGGAGGAGAAACGCCCCAAGAACAGAGCAGTGCGGCAGTCTGTTGCTTACGTAAAAGTTTTATTGGAAATTCTTTGAATACTTAAAGTACATTGGAGACTATTTCCAAGACAATTCAATTTAGGACCCTTCCCCTTCACCCAAAGCATCTGTAAATCAGCAGCTACACACGTACTGTCCTTAACGTGGAAATGAGGAGGGCTGCTACACCGAACAGTCCTCATAACGCAACCTGTGGCAGACCACAGCAGCAGCTCGACCCTTCCTGAAGCAGAACATTAATGCAGTGATCAGAGATCTGGGAGCCTAGATATGGAATCTAGGTGTTAAAGTTGAGCAGTATCCAGAAAACAGGCACATAGCTCAGCCCTAGAGAAGTTCTTTATTGCTGTGACTGTCCAGCTCAGCCCTCACAGCTCATGTGGACAAATTTCTAGCCTTTGAAGCAGGAAAAAAAAACCCCTGCAACACTGAAATTCTGTCTTGCAAGATGTGGGAGCTGTAGTGACAGCAGGAACTGCAACAACTGAGCACGAATGTTTGTCTCCACCTGGGGCTCATCAGGCCAGCACGCCTCCTCCCAGCTGCACAGCCACAGCTTTGCTTTGAAACAACAGGACAGCAGCAGCAGTGGCCGGGTGAAGCCCAGCCCAGTCCAGGCTTCCCTGTGAAGACAGTGTGAACCAGCCCTTGGTCTCTGCTGCTTGGCAGCTCAGCTGACAGCCCTTTCCCAAGCCCAGTCACCAAAGCCCTCTTGCAAGCTGTTGATCTAGAAGGGCTTTTTGAATGCCTGGGCTGCTTTGCAAGGAGTAAGGACCTGCTGCATATGACATTGCTGAAAAGATGGATTCGTTGGCTGAACTAGAAAGGGTCTGGTGGATAACGCTCCCTCAGTAACGCTCCCACGCTCTATCCTCGCGTCAGTCCCTGGTGTAGGAGCAGCACAGAGACAGTTCCCTCTGCCTACTGTCATGTGCAGGCAGTCTCTTTTAACAAGGAATTCAGCTACACAGGAGAGGCCACGTTTCAGTGACTACAGGGCTCATTACTCCACCATCCAAGGAAATTAATATGGTTCCTCAGTACAGAGGAAGCCCAACCCCTCCTATGGGAAAGGACAAAAAAGTGTTTTTGGACTGTAAAGGGGCCTTGCAGTTGCTCACTCTAGTTACAGGTGCGAGGAGAGGAGAACCACAAAAAACCCACCCTACCTAAGTTTCTTAGTGTCACTATTTCCACTCCCCTCCTCACAGCAGCCAAAGACACGCAACAGCCAAAGCAGCCACAGGGCATTGCCAGCTACTCCCATTGCTAATAGGCAGCTCATTACAAAAATAAACTTTCAGTTAATCAAAAGCCAACTGATTAAAAAGTACCATAAGCCTCCCCCCCCAAAATGTGCTTCTGCCTTCTGAATGGCTGAAGGAAAAAGGAGATTCATCCCTGCCCATCAGAACGCAGCTTTTGGCCAAGTCCCTGATGCTGCACTACACTGATGTGTGCAATTCTTATACAGATGGGCCCTGACTGAATGTTATGGAAACACAGTCCCCAAAACAGAGTATCATATTAGAGTAATCAAGTTTGTCTCAGAAAATAAATATCCTGGATTTTTTTCCAGCAAAGAGAAACCATTCTCGCTGCACAGGATTCCATGGCACACTTGCTGTCTGCAGTGATCCAGGGCAGAATGACCCGCACTACTACATGAAACAGAACATCTTTTAAATATAGGATTCTTTAAAAGCAATAAATATTTCTCGATTCTTAAGATCATCTATTAACCATAAAGCAGCAAAGTTTGCAAGGGTTAGAGGAAAGAATCTTGGACTAAGACTCCTAATTACACAACCCTAAAGAAATAGGATTCCTAATATTTACAGGTGCATTTCAAAAGCAGAGACTATGAATTCAGCATCATCCCAGCTGCTACTCGCAGAACTGTCAGCAAAGTCAGCCCTGGTGACCTCAGCGTGGCAGTGTCTGCACGCTCAGGAAGGGTGGAAACATGGAAAGCGCTTCTGTAGTTTCCCTCCTGCTTAGCTGAGGAACGTAACAGGAGGCCTCACAGAAAAAGACCACATAGAGACCCAGTTCCTTGCAAGCAAAGACCAAAGGTAACTTGTATTGCCCGCGTGCCAGCGTCTCGCTGTGCTCCAGGCACTCGCACCCAAGGCCCGATGAAATGCCCCATTCTGCAGAACGGACGGCCTAGACGCAAAACTGTTGAAGCTGCTGAACTCACAGACCTTGGAAACAAGCCAAAGCTTTCTATGCTCTAACAGGATTGAGGACTGTAGGAAAAACAGTCTGTTAGCAAGAAGCTCTAACTGGAGAAATTAAACTGCAGGACCTCGGGAGGAAGCCGCGTGGCAGCTTTTCACAGACCTCTCCACACAGACAAGAGGCTGAAAGGAAAACAAGTTTCATACATTGGAGTTTGACTTCCTGTGTCCCCATTAAATTCACAAACTCAAAACTGAATGTGAACATGAAAAGCAGTCCAGATCTATGCAGAGGTGTAGCTGAGAAAACTGGCAGATGAGCTGGATCTGCTGCTGAAGACAGCGATCAAATAAAGCTCATCGATGGAAGGAAAATGTTGAAGAAGACAAAAGGCAGAGTGGGGGTGAAAACCAGAGATATTTGTTGCCATCATTCTCCAGGATGCCTTCAGGAAGAACTGCTGCAGCAAAACTGGAAAACAGCTTCACTGCAAGGTCTCTACAAAGGCATCAAACTCTTTGACATTTTTCTCATGGACTGCAAGCTTCTCTGGTAACGAGTCCTGTAAAGCAAAGAAGGGCACAGATCAGGACTCACTCATGGCAGACAAAAGGATGCTCACACACACACCATAATGCTAAAATTCTCATTCTGAGTCTTGCTGTCCCACTCCCTGCTCCAGGCTCTTTCCCACACAAGTACCAAACCAGGAGGCCTCTGGCAGCATCTAGCAAGCGACCCTGAGAAGGGCACTCTGCCCAGAGCTTGTTTGCTCTGCAGAAACAGTGCGTGCATTGGGGCCTGGCCTTGTACAATTCCCTCCAGCAGCTGCAGCACAATAACCTGCTGATGTGGCTGCCTTAATCAAGTGGCTTGCAGCTCCCAGCCTTTGGTACTTCTCCCTCAGCAAGTTTGCTGATGATACCAAACTGGGAGGAGTAGCTGATACCCCAGCGGGCTGCACTGCCATCCAGAGGGACCTGGACAGACTGGCAACTGGGCGGGCGAGAAATCTTATGAAATTCAACAAGGCCAAGTGCAAGGTCCTGCACCTGGGGAGGAATAACCCCAGACACCAGTACAGGCTGGGGACCGACCTTCTGGAGAGCAGCTCTGCAGAGAGGGACCTGGGGGTCATGGTGGACGACAAGTTGACCATGAGGCAGCAGTGTGCTCTTGTGGCCAAGAAGGCCAATGGGATCCTGTTTACAAGCGGGATGTGGAGCTGCTGGAGAGAGTCCAGTGCAGGGCCACAAGGATGATCAGGGGCCTGGAACATCTGCCCTATGAGGAGAGGCTGAGGGAGCTGGGCCTGTTCAGCCTGGAGAAGAGAAGGCTGAGAGGGGATCTAATCAGTGTCTATAAGTACCTCAAGGGAGGCAGTGAGGAGGATGGTGCTGGCCTCTTTTCAGTGGTGACCACGGACAGAACTAGAGGAAATGGCCGGAAATTGAAGCATGAAAAGTTCCCCAGGAACTTAAGGGAAATTTTCTTAACAGTGAGGGTGACAGAGCCCTGGAACAGGCTGCCCAGAGAGGTTGTGGAATCTCCTTCTCCGGAGATCTTCAAAACCCGCTTGGATACAGTCCTGTGCCACGTGCTCTAGGTGACCCTGCGTGTGCAGGGGGATTGGACTACATGACTTCTAGAGGTCCCTTCCAACCTTACGCATTCTATGATACTCACTTTTTCCCTGACAGCCCATTGCAAGGGCTGCAAATCAGTACCACACGCGCCAGACGTGTGTGTGCACGTGTGTAACAGCCAGCTCCCCCCTGCACAGCCAGCAGACTGCAGCTGCTGTCATCTTGAAGCTAAATTCACCTGCTTCAGGGGCTCAGGTGTGCCACAAATGGGTACATTTGTCTGCAAGCCTATAAATAAGGGACCCCGTGAGGCAGGATCTCTCTTCTGGGGGGATACTAGCTTGGTCAGGAGAGGAAAAGGGAGAGGAATATAAAGAACATGTAATTTCCACAGACTGGAATCTCATGGTTGCATACCAAATCCTCTGCCATGGACTGAGCTCCAATGTCAATCGAGAGGCTGCTCAGTTGAGGTGGATTCTGAAACTCACGGTAAAATGTCCCCAGGTCCATTGGAAGAATGTCATCTTTTGAAAATGCTGGTTTCTAGAATCAAACATACTGCTGTTAATTTCTGTTCAGAAACTTGGCTTTCCTTTTACTGTAGTTTCAGGTAAAGACAACACCTGCTCTCAGTAAACATCTTGGCACTACAGCTATTCAGATTAAATAACTCAAGCTTTGCCTTTAGCCCCTGCCTAGGCCAAGATACCTGCTTGCCTGAGCCCAAGGAAGAGATTCCCTGGAATCTGTCTCCTTTAAGCAACAGAGAGAGGAGAGCAAGCACGTGTGTTGGTAGGAACTAGAAGATTATTTCATTTGTAACTTTGGGTTCAGAGTATCACTGCCTTTGTAGTTTTGAGACTGTTCAGCTCAGTTCCAGGATGGTGAATCCCAGGCCTTTACACCCAGGGGAAACTCTTGCCAATGAGCTGCACCTGGAGCCCCGCTGAGGCGCAGGGGTTGTGTGTGAGAGCACTGACGAGGCACTTACAAAGTCAACCATAACAAAGTCATCGTGGGTGTTCCCTGTGCTGCTGCCACTGGAGCCCTCCGAGTGTAAGCTGCCTTGTAGAGGAGATTCAGTGTCTGGGGACTCAGGAGGATTCACCTGCTCAAGAAATCAAAAACTGTGAGTGCCGATCTTGCCATGGAGCCTGTCTGCATACCGTGAGTGCGGGGGCAGGGAGGAGGCTGGCAACAAGCACACGCTACAGCTGGGGTGGTAATTGCACTTTCTTGACTGCAGAGCCCAAGGCCAAATATGGGAAATTTCTTGAAATCAAACAAATGTAGACAATTAGCTCTTTGCTCAGAAAAAGAAGTGTGCATAAGGCAAGAAACAGGATGGCTGCTGCATGAGATGCTGAGAGGGCACAGATTATACCTCTGAAAGGGGCTTACCATGGGGTCGTTATCTTCGAGCTCAACATTCTTGGGAGCAAACATGGCAAAAGGAATGTCTAAGTTGGCCATGGTTACCTAAGGAGATTTAGCAAACAGAATTTCATTAAGATGCTCTGCTTCCCCAGAAAAGAAAAGGATACTGGAAGTCTCTGTCGGGTCTGTCAAAAATTGCCTAACATCACGCTGGCAGTTTGCAGGAGGCTGACAACCTCATTTAAAAGGCATGAAATAGAGAGACTCTACTGATTGACCTAATACAGATATGTGCCCAGTGGAGGTGGGATGGGTTATGTAGATCCTATGCAAAACAGGCATTAATAAACTGCTACAGATTTAAACAATCCCCCTTCATCCATCCAAGAGTGCCTAGAAAAAAGCTTAAAGCTGCCCTGGCTGAGCTTCCGAAGTGGCTACTTAGTGGTGATGAACTGGCCTACTGCCCATTCCCCCAAGGAACAGGGGCTTGCTGCCAATTTCTCCAGTGTAAGAACCTGTGGCAGGGGCAGTTTGCTGTGGGGCCTGGTGAAGTCATGAATGACTTCCAAATTAAGTCTTCCATACCCAGATGGGGTATTGGTAAGGCAGGGCAAATGTAATGGCTGTCACAGATCAAGAGGATTTTATGAAAAATGCGCCTGTGACAAGACCCTGCAGGCAAATCCTTCAGGCAGGAATTTGTCCTCTCGTTCTCCTGGATTGCCCTGGCACTGTGGTACTGGGTTTCCTCCGTGCAGAACCGATTGGAAAAGCAGGGTATTACAGTGCCCTCTGAGGAGCTCGACTGCCATTACCTGATTAATGGGTTTGTTGACAAAAGCTCCCACCTTCCGGACAAAGATGGTTTCCAGAAGGTCATGGGGGGAGCCACACTTCCCTTCGCTGCTGTTTGACACTGTTTCTGTGTCCTCACTGAGGGAGTAAGAGAGACTAGCTAGTGACTCATGGCACAAACAATACAGACAAGGCTCATGCTTTGCAAGATTAATCCAACGCACAGCTATTAGCTATTTCTGTGACCTGTTTGTCTTTTTCCTACTAGAGATCTTCCTAGCTCTATAAAACACAAATATTGGTTGAGTCCTCTGTTAAGAGGACTACTTACATAAGGTACTCAGAAAGGTACTAGTGCAACTAGAGTGCTTTTTGGTCTCTCCATAGCAGAATCTCTGCTTAAAAGATTTAACTGAGAATTATCTGTGAAGACAAGAGACACTTAACAAGAAATGAATGTGGTATCATAAAAATTAAGGACTCAATTAGCAGAAAGGGAGGTGATTTTAAAACAGTTTGAGCTTGCATTATTTCCTTCTAAGTAACTTAGTGCCTAAAGTTTTTTTTTTTTTAATGTAATACATAAACAGATCTGTACTATCTGTGTAGATATATCTGTGCCTATTTTCCATAACAATTTGCATTTTTGCTCTCTCAAACTGACATAGCAGAAGATAGCAGAGATGTTAAGGTGACCAGAAGGTGCAAGTAGCTACACTAGAAAGTGTAAAGAGCTGCTGGCTGTTTCAAGGGGGTGAGGGTGAGAAGACAATAGCTGTGCTACAAACAATAGCTTAAAAAAAGAAAACAAAGCTTCAGTTTTATATGATTTTTAAATGGATTAAGAGAAGTGGCGGACTACCTAAGACTGACCTACCTACTAGAAGGAGTAACTGCTGAGTAGTGGGCCCCATCCAGTGGGGTGCATATCCTTTCTTGGTCAGCTTGGGTGCCATGTGCTGGCTGGCTAGGAACTGGGGGCACCCCCCCTTCTTTTCCTGGACCAATCAACTGAGATGGAGAGAGAGAGTCAAGTTAGATATCTCTACATTGATTCCACAACACGTATGACACAGAGCAGGTTCTGTCACCCCGGGGCTCGGCTGTGGCTTTGGCATGCACCTGGCCCCCTGAAGCCCCGAAGCCCATGGCATGTCGAGCACAAGGTGCTCTCCCCAGCACAAAGTTTTGTGCTGCCTTCCTGCCCTGCTGCCCTTCAGGCTGCTCCCCTGCACCGCAGGGCGCGACGGCCGTCAGAGCAGCAGCGCAGGGGACATCGCACTCTCCTACCACCCCTGTGTCAGCAAAGCTCTGCTGTGGAAGCAGCGGGCAGAAAAACATTTCTTAGCTTATTTTATCTTATAGCTGGATGCAAAAATGCCGAAATGGACTGTCAGTGTGTCCTTCATCCAGGCTGGAGCGCTGCGCTCGGACAGCTACAGTGACAGCAGTTCTGTAACAGAGCCAAGGCTTTGCAAACGGTGATGCAAACAGGTGTAAGCAAACAGGTTTGGCAGCTGTCCTTCTAGTGTAGTTTCTCCATGCTACTCCTGCCCTACCCCAGTAAAGCTAAGGATGCTCAGGAGCCAGTTCCCAGCTCCTCTGCAAGTGCTCTTCGTTTAGCCTAGGCTCTTTGCATTCCCAAGCAGGAAAGCAGTGCACGCGCTTGGAGCTCCCCCTGTGACAGACAGGTGACACATAAGGGCTGCAGCACCAGCCACGCTTGTCGTTCTACCCTTTACAAGTACCTGGTGAGGGTGTGCAGCAGTCAAGCCACCAGCAAAGAGTAGAGGATACCCCATGTCAGCCGATCCAACTGCCAGGGCAGCAGGCTGATAGGAAAGACGAGAGCTGGAAAGCTAAGAAAGAAGAGAGGGGAAAAAAAAACAAGAAGGGCAAAGGGAGAGGAGAGAGGAAAGGGAAGGGGAATGGCCAACAGTCTGAATAATCATCAGTCACTGGAGAAGGAACAGGAGAAGCTGGAGGCACAGCACAGTGTTTCAGGCTGACAGAGTAGATTCTAGATTTTCATTACAAGTCAATGATGAAGATTTTTGTTTTAAAAAGTTGCAGGGGACTAAGGTTTGGTCTTGACATGAAAATGAGACTGGTTTCACACGCATAGGAGGCTGGGCAAGGCATGGCTGACATCTAACACAGGGAAGCTCTGCTCTACAGGTCTGTTTCACATACTAGAAAAAGCATGAATGCCATCACCAACTTATTAAAGAGATAATATTTAAATATATTTTTTTCAAATTAACTGCATTATCAGCTGTTTGAACTCAATTCCATTGTACATTGAAATAGCTGATCTTCAACTCCATCTCAAACAGCTTCAGCGATAGATTATAGGGCCCTGGAGGTGTGCCAGTTAGAAACAGGAAGCTAACCCTTGTGAAATGGCTTTAGGAATGAAGTGCTGGAAGCTGTGAAACCCAGGAGAAGTTCCTTGCGTGCAGTAGGTAGAAATCGAGTTGGCAGGGCTCCTTCCTGCTTCGGCCTCCTCATCTTCAAAGGCAGCCCTCGCTCAGAGCCCTGCATGTGCTACCCCAGCAATGACCCATCACTTACAGGGGCCTCTCCTGTGCCTGAGGCTGGGTGAGCTGAATGGAGCAAACTCCTCTTGGAGAAGGGCAAGAGTGAAATTGTTACATGTGCTCCTGAGGATATCTGGCCTGCTTGACACTTTTTGCAGGAATTAGTATTGCTTTGCAGATTATTTTATGCACATACTCCTGTAAAAATCCCTTTAGAAACTCTAGGGACTGTTGCTCACTGAAATGGCCTAGTATTAGCTGTGTAAAGAAATCTTCAGCATATACAGTCATGCTTCTCTATTCTTTGATGTCTTTGTCTCAGGTCTTGTCTTGCAGTCACTGTTAGCATTAGAAACGTAAAACTTTTCAGTTCAAACTGCTTCATTCTCCACCTGCCTTTGAAAATCCTCCCACAGCTTTGCAGCAGCTGAGTGTTCCCTATGTGCCTACTTTATGAAGTGTTTCTCTGGCCTCTGCTTTGAGGCTCACACAAGCATGAGAAACATGACTTCAGACAAACGTGTGAGATGTAAACAAAGAACAGTAAATCAGGTCCTTGTAAATGTTTCTCGCAACCATGAAGACAGACATAAGTGAGATTTTTATTTTCTTCAAATTAACAGTATCTCTGCTTTAGCCCAGGAAAAGGTCTAGCTGATGCAGAGATTCTAGAGCATAGATCCTGCTAAGAGGAAGCACTCAGCACTGTGCTGTTTTACATGTGTCCTTGACTAAGAGTTAACACTTTCAACAGCTGATGTTTGCTCAAAGGTGCTTTTCCTGTCTTGGGAGACCTGCATTTGCAAAAGCACTTAAGCATCCAGCTTGCACTGAAATCCCTACAAGAGACAACTGAAAACTTTGCTGGACTTGGGCCCTACAGAAAGCAGGTGACATTCACTGAAGTTAGTGGCATTGTCAGTGGGACCAAAGTTCACCCATATTCCTATTCAATTGCTTTTTAAAGGCTGTCAAGGTAGTATTAAAAAAAAAAAAAATCATATGCCCTTCCACTCTTGTTTTCTGTCCTTTCTTCTTGCTCTGCCTGGCATGGTGGACACAGCCCTCCTTTGCCCATGGCAGGCTGTTTTCTTCTAGGCACCTGCAGTGTTACAGCTGTCAGCTGGGCTCTCGTTTCCACAGTGGGGAACGCTGAGCTCCTTCTCAAACACTGACCAGCCTGAAAGTCTGGGGCATTCTTTTAACTGGAAGACTGTAAGAGCTTGCTGAAAACCATTCCCTCCCAATATCCTCACTAAATGTTATAGGCTGCTTCCTGCAGGATTGGTGTTCAGCTCTAAAACTGCAGGTGTCTTTTAGAGAGCAGTGGCTTTGCAAACTAGACCCAATGATGTGCCTGCCTCCCCCTGGAGTAGACCAGTCTTTTTGATGCACAACAAACATTCTGCATTGTCAAATTTGTGCTTTCCTGTGTTTGTTCTGACATGCCAGTGTTATCTGGGCAGGAATAACATTTTCTATTGTCAACTCACTTGATGTGAAAAGGCCAGTCCCATCACTGGGACCTTCAAGGTGTCCGTCACCACAGGAGGAGGGGTCTGAAAATGTGCCTTTGTGACAGTAAAAACACACTGTGCACAGACAGACACACAGAGGAAACGAGAGAGACAGAGACAGAGAGAGAGAGAGAGAGAGAAGGACTTCAGAGAAGCTATAAAGAGTTGGATGAACTGAATGCTAGTGAAGAGACTGTGGCTGCAGCAGCCAAGAAACACAATTTTGTGTAGAATTGACTGCTTTCCAATCTTGGGGAACCATTTGACATGGCTAATGTTTCAGGCTCCAGTGAACGCTATCAGAAAAGTAACTGCCAGAAACCCTGTTTTTCAGCTAATTAGAATTGTTAACAGGCAATTAGCAAGGAGAAGACTGAGCAGTTGCCCAAAAAACCATTAACACTAATCTTATTTGGAAATGTATGAGCTATATCCATTTCAATAGTCTACATTCATACACCCTTAATCTTCCACCCTTCTAAGAAAACAGCAAGGATCATATCTTGACATGTCTGTACTGCACACTCAGACTAAAAGAGGGCCCAGCAAAGGGACAGCTCAAATATACTGATATGAGGAGAGGGCTCCTTCACCAGGATACTCCACAGTTAAACTCTTGTCTTGCAGAGGGTGTTAATGCAGAAATTGCATCCCAGTCCCATGCTGGCCCCTCATTTCTCCCTACTTGTTTTCCTGCCAGCAGTTTTATAAATGTTTATTTGTGGGTGTGGGTACCATCTGCACTCCCATTTTAATCCTGAATTTTAGGGTATTCTCCAACCCGTGTAACAGGTATGCTAGGCAGGTCCAGGGGAAGAAGCTAAAACCCTTGCATCATGCAGGCTGGGCCTCATTTCTATTGGGCTGTGCATAACCTGCATGAGTTGTCTATACCATACAGGTGCTTGTATTTTCCTAAGCACTGAGTTTCATACAAAAAGCTGGAGGAAGAGCAACTAAGAAAATAGTCTTTTGGGGTTTTTTTCTTCCCTTCTAATTTATTCTGGAGCCCACTCTGCCAAGATGATCTCACCATTCTCACGGTGGTTACAACTGGCAGTTGCTTTACACATAAGTGTGCAGTGTCTGCTAGCTATCAACTACAGAAAGGCAGCAATGTAGGCTGGGGCTTGACAAGAATCTTCAGGTTCTCCTGGTTTTATGAAGCTTCAGCCTCACTGAGAGGGAAAGCTTTATGCTCCCTGGGGAAGTGTCAGTTCTGATGTACTTACAAACACTGTTACTGTTAAGTAACACTGGCATGAGCAAGTCAGTGGAAAACTAATCGTGAACTCTGCTGCATTTCACCTGCTTGGTGAAAATGCAAGATGCAGCTCAGCCAAAAACCCATCTCCTGAGCTGTATACCCAGGAACAAGAAAAGCTTTATTCCATTAGACTTATCACGAGCGCTAGCTCAGTTCAGCGATGCCAGATGCCCTGTTACCCCAAATCCAGTCAGCACAAAAGTACCTCCTAAGGGGAGCTCATTTCCAGCTCATTCATTCAGCAGAATACATTCTGCTAAACCCCTCAGCCTAATTCCTCTGAAGCGGTAAGACTTGTAGCAAATTCTTTCAGATTGGAACAGCATTCCAAATGCACTTCATTCTGTGCTTACACCCACAGTAAAACAGATTTATAGGATCTTTAGATTGCTCTACTGAACTTTAAAGACAAGCTGCTTGGCTGGATAACAAGGGAGAACATTCTTGAATATTTAAAGCTATAGGAAAACAGCTAAAGTAGTCAAGTCTGCAAAATACAGAATTGTGCAGTCAGATGTGTAACCAGACAGAACTGGAGTTTATATTTTTTTCAAGATTCAGATGGGATCCATTTATTGTTTCTTTTAAAATTATAACTTAAAATAATGGAAATTTGCACAAATAGGTGGGAACACACATAATTCTACTTAAAGTTCCACCTAGTTCAATACTACAAACTGCTTTGCTTGCCAGTACTTACTTCTGCTGGCCCTGCTACTTTTAGATGGTTCTACAAATGGACCATCTTTTTCCTAATTTTTATTATTCTGCAGTCCAGAAGACATGACTGTGCCATAAGCCTTTTTGTGATATATGAATATTTCTTTCTCAGTTTTAGTTTATTACCTCTCTAGTAAGGCTGACTGGCATCAATGTCTTGAATCTGTCTTTTGCAGTGATCAGTATGTTTATATATTATATATTTGTATACAGGTATGCTGCTATACTCTTCAGGCTCATCTCAGCACAGTTACAGGACTTGGTTCTTTCAATAACTCAGTCTTTCTAGTCCTTTAGTTCTAGCACTAAGTTCCACAGCACAAGAATAGAAATAATAAGCTTACATATTAAATTTTAATTTTTCAAATCGATCTAGCAGCAGGAGGCTGCACCCTTGCACTGTAGTTGATGCAGGAGCAGGTACCCTGTGCTAATCATGACTGGCCTATCTAGGAGAAAGAGCCTGTTTCTTCCTACCTGAGATGGAGGAGAGGTGGAGAAAGATGTTGTACAAACTTCTTGGGAATCTTCCACCGAGGGGTACACTGCACCATTGTCCTCCCCAGCTCTAAAGCAGTAGCAAAGAGGAGAGGGGAAAAAAAAAAAGGGAAAAAAAAAAAGGCAAGTCCTAACTGAAAATATGCCACGGAAAAATAAAAAAAGAATTAGTAAAACACAGTGGGACAAACATTGCAGGGAGATTGAGAGTATCTGAGTGGAGTTGAAAGGAGAATTATGAAAGTCTCTAATATTTTTGGCAGAACTGAGGAAAACAGGGTATAGAAACTTTAGTTTTCCCTAAGATTATTTACCCCAGACAGTCTTCTTCCCACCCCCAAAAGGGAACACTTCGTTTGTTTTTGTTTTTAAACTAAGGAAGTTCTTGGCTTCATCAACCAATGGTGTTAAGAGAACCATTGTCAAACGGTGCTACTGGTCCCAGTTCGACTCCTCTTGTGAATTTTAGAGAGGGCAAACTCCTCGTTTATAAAGGTAATTTTCAACTCTCTAATTTATCTCCCATGGAAATCTCTGGAGATGCATGCCTCTGGACATCTAGTTTTACAGGAACATTAACTGCTACCCTTTAAAATTCCCAAAGGCAGATGAAGCTCAGCCTCTTTTGCAGCAGAGTCATTCTGGAAGGAATTTGGGAACTTAATGCTTGCTATGCTCAGCCTTCTAGAGCTGAGGGGGAACATGTTGCCTTTCCTCATGTCCTCAGCCTGACTGACCCTGATCCTCCACTCTCCCCTCCCCTGCTGTCAGCAGGTAGTGGAGAAGGCTCTGTGTTTGGGCATAACGATGCCTTCACCATAGCCCATGACTGCACTCAGCATTTCCTCACCTGTAATTGCAGGGATGCATGGGCGAAGAGCTGGGATAGGGACGGTCCACAAAGTGATCAATGATAATCCCCATGATAGGAGGGGTCCTCTCAAACTGCCTGCAATGCAACAAGCAAATGCTGTTAGTAGTATTCCCTTCTATCGCATCCCAACTCATGGTGCCCTCACAGAAAGCCCTAGTACCTGTTAGCAGGACCACAGCATCTTTACAAGTCAACTCTGCAACTCCAAGCAAGCATCAACAGTTCAGAATCCCAGAGTCTGGCTCAGAGCTACCCAAATGCTCCCCTTGCTGCAGCACTTAAGCATGACAGAGTATTCACCATGAAGGAACATCTCAGCAGGACAGGATAAGGAGAAGGGAAAGATTTAGAGGCTCATAATATGAGGGGTTTAATAACACATGATGATAAAACACTTTCTGGCATGATCATGTTTTCTCACCTGGTTGACATGAAGGCAAGGTTGATTCTGTAGGCACAAGACAAAGTGATGGTGCCCACTGGAGTACCCACTGTCCCAACACGGACTGTCTGGAAACCTATATAGTTACAGACAATTATCAGACTCACTGGTTATGCAGAACTTGATTATTTATATTCTGTACTCCCCTGTTCTGAGGTTGTATCATCTTATTTTTATTGTTTGCATTATTCTTTGCAATCTGAATTCCAAACACACACACAGAGAACCTTTAACAAAACAGCAGCACTAGGCTGCCTTGCTGTTAGGCCTTGTCTATAAGACTCCTGATGTGGACTTCCCATCGTAGCCTCACACATTGCTCTGAGGTGCTTATTGATCCCAAGAAGCTCTCCTCTACTGGTCCTGCCCCTTATGAACATGCCTCCACCTTTATTTCTTTTCTGGATTGACAGAGTCAAACTGGCAGCCACCCTAGATCTTGTCAAAGTACATTGCATCTGTCACTTTACGACTTGACCCTCTGCAGAAAACACTCACATTTAAAAAGCATCTGTAAACATCAGGCTTAATTGCTCTTGAATCTCTTAAACATGGTAATAAATGTCTCAAGTATGGAAAAGAATTCTGCTCTAGTTGGTGTGTATTGTCTAACCATACCTTCTCCCAAGCCACTCAGCTGGACTTCACCAAAATATATCCTGCAGGAAAAAGAACAAGAAAACTTATTAGGTCTAGTGGGACATAATGCTAGGTCTTCTCTATTTAATTTTGTGATAAAGGAAGGGCTGGAGCCACAATTCATTTTTAGAAAAAAACATATGTAGTAGCCAGAAAGACCATCTCAAAAAGCATTCATGATTTGCATTCATTGTAGCTCATCCTTTTTCACCACGTTTACAGCTGCATTGTGCTTGTCTACAGCCCCATTTCAAATGTGAATTTTCTATTTTGCTTTACCTGTACAGTATTACATATTCATGGCCTTGTTTCCTTGAGAGTCTGTAGGCTGGAGTTACCCTGGTTATAGCAAGTAAAGATTTCAGTAGCAGAGACAGCCTGTTGTATACGGTGTATGAAACTTTGATTTCTTTGTCACACCTGTAGAACACACAGGAAAAAAGTAAGTCTTGTTTAATCAATGTGATTTTTTAATCGAGTCTGGCCCAATTGTTGAAACAAAAAGAGAAAGCTTCAGTCTGAACACCTAGTTGACCAACCAGCTATGAGTCCTACTTCAGTCTAGTCACTTCCTGTAGAATTAATTGCAGAAACAGCCTTGTAATAGACAGAAGCATCTTTACAGCATTAAAATTATTTGTAGTTATTGAGTGTATGAACTCTTGTATCTGAGGAGGTATACTAATTGCAATGGAAGAATGAAGAAAGAATTACTTTTCTGGTTTCCTTTCTTGACACTGTATTAAATAACTGGACTGCGCATAAAATAGAGGGGATTTTCCTCTGAAGTGTCACACGCAGCATAGCTATTGTATGCTCATTCAACAACATTGCTTGAGCAAGTTTCCCTATTTCATCAATCAAAAATCCCCCCAAATAAACATAAAAAACAAACAAAACACAAAGAAAGTTAGAAAAATGCACTTACTTCTCATTCATTTCTAGACACCAAATTTCCAGCTCCATGGAATCTCCCTAGATCAGAGAAAAGATGGTGAACAAAGGCTCATTTCAGAACACTCATCTTTTCACACCACATTACTGAGCAGCAACAGCCAAATCTTGTTCTTTCTCTCTCTCTCAAAAAAAAATGTTTGTCTGGCTCCTACTTTCTTGTCATCTTGACAATAGACAAAGGTTCACTGGAAGCTTCACTGAAGAACTTGATCACCTGAGCACAAATCTTCCTCAGAATGGCTAAGCTCTTCGTGGGCTAAGAAGCTATGTTTTGCTGCTGTCTCCCTTGTGTACTTGCACTGTGCATTGTTAAATAGTATTTTTCATCAACATGCTAGCTAACTTCATGATTGCAGATATTTTTATGTTATCTCAGGCTAAAATACAGAAGCTTTGGTAGGTGACTTCAGGTGTAAGGTAAAAGACAGGAATCTTGTTTTGATTTGGTCCTCACCTCCGAGGTTTTGAGAGAGATCTCCACGCACATAGACCGTCCAACAGCAGGCAGCTGTCCTGCCAAGGCTTTCTTTGCTTCATGAGTAACCTCTGGTATGTCTTTGATTGCCAAATTGAACTGCAGAATGAATGAGAATTTTTTTAAATTATTATTTCTTTGAACGAGGTTCAATGCAGACAGATTAATATACCAGTATATAACATAGTAGGCTAGTGTCCCTTAAAATATTTATGAAACACAGAAATTCGCTCAAGCTTTTCACATTTGCAGACAGCATTTCATTGGCTGATTCAAATGTTTTTCATGATCCTGCTGTACAAAGTCATCTTAATTTTTTTCTTCACTTGAATCACCTACAGAATATCTTTAGTCTCTTCAATTTTAATGGAGCCCATTACTTAAAGAATCCTGCAAACATCTGACAAAAAGGAAAGAAAGAACTCAAGACTCGCCCCCCAGCAGATTTTGGAAGCATGCAGTATTCAGCAGGTATGAGTTGCTGATAGGTATCATTAAGTCTAATTAGAGGAAAGGTATTTTCCTCTAATTAGGCCTTAGAGAGCCCAGAGTGGCATGCTCCACGTCAACAAGGAAAGAAAAGAACACCAAACAAAGTCAACATAATGGAATACAGTAGTTGTTACATAGTCTGCACAAGAACTGTGTGTGTTTTCAACACTAAAACACAGTTACAGAGCTGCTTTAAAAGTTATGACTTTACCCAGTCAGAGCCTGTTGGGGAGGAGGATGATCGGGTACAGATTTTCTCTCCAAGTCGGGCCTGGACAATTACTTGTACTGTCTGAAAGAGAGAGGAAAAGAGGCACATTGACTTCCTGAGCTCAGCAGAACCCTCTATTCCAAATCTGGGCTAGACAGATTCCAGCTTAAAAAAAAAAAAAAAAAAAAAAAAAAGGATTGACCAGAAAGTAAAGCGGAATTTGCTAAGCTAATCTTCAGGTATAATCTTCTTGAATTATTATGTACAATAGGTTAACATATTTCAGACTGAAGGTGATTTTAAGCTGATCCTTTTTTGTAATAATATGAAGGAACTAAATCAGTTTCATGATCAGGAGTTGCACTGTCTTCAGTAATACTGAAACGAGATTTATATATCCTAGATAACTATAACTTTATTATATATATATAAGAGACAGTCAAGTGTGTCATCTGATGTCAGAGCATCTACTTGTCTCTAGTAAGGCTAAATAGTAAAAAAACTATGTGCTAAGTAAAGCCAAACATTTTTTATATTGTTACACATTACATCTCAAAATAACAGATACTATTTCTTCTGGATTCAATAGAAAAAATTAGATGGATTGAAAATAAAGGTTTGAAACGAGCAGGAGATACTATCTAATTGCTGAGTGCAGATAAATGTGTTGACAGGAGCTCAGAGCTGACAGAGGTATGACCAGCCTGTAACTGATGTTATAGCAGAATATTTTGCAGGAAGGGAAGATGTACTGAAGATGGAGAAAATACATTTTTCTACTTCCTGTTAGGAATTTATTTTCTAAATTTGTCTTCAGCTCTTCTTATTTTGCAAGCAAAAACTTCTGTTTGATATGCTGTCCACCAGGAGTAAGGCTTTTCTCTACAAACACAAAAGAAGGGAGATTTGCCCACAAGAGGGAGAGTTACCTTCAGAGCGAAAAATTTGATGAACTTGTCCAGGTCCTTCCTGTCCTGGGAACTGAGATCAGTGTCCATTGCATATGGCAATCTGAAATACAGTACACGCCTGGGAATTAAGTCTTCTTTCAGCTTTCTGTTTGGATTTTAAGATTTCAAAATATTTTGCCATTAGAGGCTGGCTCAAGAGAAACAAAATGTCTAACATGCTAACACCTCTGCGAGGGGTGTGAAATGCACAGTAATAATGATACAGCTTCTCAGTGCAAAAGGTGCCAGAAGAAAACTAAAGGAAGCTCAGAGTTAAAACTGACTAGAAGTTCTCCAATTTTTCTACCTAGAGAGGGAGAGAGAGAGAGAGGGAGAGATGGTGAGAGACAACGTAAGAA